GATCGCAGTATCGATATTTGTCATGCAAATTGACGGAAATAAATTGTGGTCGTTCACGCATGTACGCGAGTACGTATCGATTTCGCTCAATTGTTAATGCCTTTTGCAGGAAGTCGGGGAAATTTCAGCTGTTACATAAATGAAAAGTATTACTGCCTGGTCGCGCGTCCTTCCGTGCACTGAAACAATGATGACACAGTGAAAAACGATGTAGAGATACGAAATGTGCATGCGAGAGGAAAGAAACAATAGTTAGGACTAGCTTCTAATTAAATGTTAAGGAGACCTCTACGCATTATGCATAAAAATCGTTGGCATACGTATCTATTATTCACATACAGTTTACGATTTAGACGAATTCTTTGTCTAACACGGGTTATATGACAATTGAGGGGTGTGCTGCAATAAAGAGGTAGCTTCATTTTTTCAAATTTTCCTCCTTATTGCACCACAAAGAAAAGGTTGCAGCACAACCCTCAATTCGAGAGGTGACGGTGATTGTACGCGTAAAAGTGAGTAAATAATGTAGAATAAAATTTGTTTGTACAAGACGAGTGATTTGGTTGACGTGTTTAACCGTTGCTCGCCATTTCTACTTATTCTACAGCAGCCTAGGTTTATTTTCGTTCTACGTGAATTTCTTTATTGAATTGATTTAATTAATTTTTCAACGTTTTCATTCTATAGATGCGTAAGATTGTTTGAATTTTGACCCTTGAATTTGCTCATCCCTCAGATGAAACATACATATGCATATCGACAACGTACAACGACATATTGCTTCGTTTTCTTTCAGTTTCGACGATCTCCGTCGGGCGACACCCGATTCTTTTCTCTGTACACGTAAAAACAGCATGCTGTCTGCAAAAGAAACTTTCCAATATAAACCTTACCCGTCCGCTTGGTACGTATTAACAGTGTTGCGGATCTTTCCGTCGTCGAATAAGACTCGTCCTGGCGGGAGACAAGCTTGTCATTGTAACTTCTAACATCAAGTTTCGGGATTCGAGTTCGTGAAGGGCGGGCGGGGTAGGGGGAGAGGGGATGAGGTTGCAGGTTGTCAGGGTTGCGGGTACAAGGAAGAGTCGATAGGGTGAGCACCAACACAGAGTGACCACTAAACACCTAACAACCAACAATAGCAGCCAACATCGAACATCGATAAACCAACGAAACTAAACCAACCACAAGTCACATTGTAACGGAACTCAGCGAACAGTGAAGACATAATTCAACATATCCATAACATAACGTATATATATATAATATGTGTGTAATATGTACATAATATACACATATCATGTATAGATACAGAATATAGAGATGTATACACAATGTTGAATGACATGTAAATACGTACGTGTGTGCGAAGAATGCCACTGCTTCCAGGTGAAATTTATACCACAAAAATACTTAACCGTCGTACAAACTAAGGAATTGCCAATCGCTACGATATTACTCGCGAAAAGTGTTGCGTTAAAATTTCGAACGAAAGATCTTTCTCGAAACGAAAAAAATCAGAAAATAAAACTGAAAAAGATTTCCAAAGTATTTCCGAACAATTCTCAACGCACAGACTTCATTAACGTGCATATATATATATCGCACGTGAAACCGGAATTTGACGGTGCAGTTTAATTAAGGGTAAACGAATACACCGAACGAAAATTTGCTCTCCGTACCTGAATGTAGACGGCAGATAATGAAACGCGTAATTATCAGACCGCGCTGTAAAGACCCCTCGAAACAATATAAAAACATAGGCAGCATTCCACCGCGTACTCGACGACTAATTTAATATGGTCTAGTTAAATGTTCACAGTGCACTCTTCGCTCTACGTGCGGTTCAACAACACCGAGGAGCTGGGTATACATCGTCGCTGCGGGCCGTCGTACGAGTTTCTCATTAAAACACTGAGGAGCACTAACTGTGAGACACGATAACGTAAAAGTGAAACACGTTAAAACTTAATAAGGATGACATATCTTCACAGACACCGAGTAGGGGTTATGGTGACGTACCACATCGAGTACATTGAGAACGTGGTTCGCGCGGACGACTCTAGTAGTGGTGGTTGTTGTTACATTGTGTGTTGTGGTCGTGGCAAGAAGAAGAAGAGATGGAGGAGGTGTGCGGCGCCCCCGGCCAGCCGGTCGCCCGTCACACCCTGAAACAGAATAATATTGTCACTTCCTTGCGGGATATACGCTATCCCTATCGACTATCTTGTCCCGCCATTATCTATACCAGTGGCGCGCAACCCCTCGCGTTACCAAGCGAAAGAAAATAATCATCTTAAGGGGGTAGTTGTCGAAGCTAAATTTCAAAAACTTTTTTTTTCAAGATTTAAATACGTACTTTAATACAAAACAAAGAATGATTTTACGGTACAAGTATCGAACTTGATCTATACATTTTTTTTTTCTGATATATATATATTTATTAATGGTTCAGATAAATGACCAAATCTTCAGGAACTTTTTTTTTCAAAGAAACATTTTGCGAGATGACATCGACATTTGCTGAATGGATGAAGGAATATTTTTTTTTTTGTAAATTGTGCATCTATTTATAAATTCAGTCGTAAATGGAAGAATTAGGAAATTCAATCTTCCTAATAAATCCATTCGGAATTGTTATATTATAAATGATACACCATACGCGTAATATAATCGATATCACAATTTCGTCTCACTGTACCTTCCTTTGAATCCTGTACATTCATTCGTCGAATCTTTGAACGCGTGCGGACAAAAGATATTTCCATTGTTCCAGTTTCCTCCTACCTCTCGAAATTCCATTAATTACAAACTTTTCATTGATCGGTAATTAATCCGCTAATTAAAAAGGATTCGGTTTCAATTTTGACCGATTTTCCGAACAAACGTTAAACATTCCACACGCCAGCAGAACTTCTGGAACTAAGTAAAAGGTAATCGTCAATGACGTTTTATTCCGTTTCGGTATCGAACCAATGGAACCGTATTGAAACCGCCTTTTTCTATAGAAACAATGTAACGTTATGCCTTTGTGTTGTGACCTCAAAGCGTTCGGACAGAATATTTACTCTTCTTTAGTGGTGCAACGAATAACCCGTATCGTTTGTAATTATCAAGTAAAGTTTACCCAGAAAAGTCGGAGTACCTGTTCAACTCTGAAATAGTGTTATACTGTTGCGCGCAGTGTACCAATAAGTATCGGTTCGCCGCGTGCATACGCTTATTTGCACCAAACAACATACGTAGTTCCAATAATCAAATTTGATTGGATCAGTATTACTTACTCGTCCCTATGCGTATAAGATTGTTGAAAATAGTAATTATCTTAATTATCTTATTAAGTATATATTAAAAATCATATGTTGATGTCTGACTGCCCTTCGATTAGCATCACCGATAACATAACTAACAAGCGGTTGCCACCAGCGAAAGTGAAAAGTGTCCTTAAAGTCTCCAAGGGGCGACAACGCCGTTGGACGGTCCACCACGTTCGAGCATTCGATTTTCGAGCTTTCATCGGATCCCCTCGGATGCAAGTCGATTTCGCCGGTAGCCCCCGATACTTGTGCCGGCCGGTTTGCTCGCAGAAAGTACTGGCGCGAAGTCGCGCTCGACGGAGGGTCAAAGCCGAAAAAAGAGGTAAAGCTTTATATCGAGGAAAAGGGGATTTCGGATTTGCTGGACCATGTCCACCCATTGCATCGTTTACGTCCAATACAAACGAATGGGCGAATGAACGGACCAGGAAGAAAGACAGATAGAGGGTGGTAAAGAGGGTGGCGACTATGGGGAGAGGGGGTGGGCGCAAAGCAAGAGAGCGATGACGGTGGAAAGAGCTCGCCGTGGGGGCGGAAAGGGGGTGTTCGGGGAGGGCCTGAGAAACGGGAGCAGCGACCGGGATTTTAACGTCGAGCACACTCGTTTCGAGTCGATAGGTCCACTTCGGCTGGCTTGGGAAGCAGTCGACATGGTCCAGCAACTTCCTCTCCCACCTCAAATCCCCCAACCCCACCTCCTCTTGTATCCGTCGGTCCGAGACATCATCTTTCCTTATTCGAAAACAGGGCAGATGCAGGTTTTCATAGATTCTGTTCTCACGGCTAATAAAAACTGGTCTTGGTCTAACTAGTTCTTGAGTGGACCTCACAGGAACGAAGTTCCTCGATCCTTGGCGGGGGAGAGGACGGAAGAAAGAGTAGGGCACTCAGCGTATTGCACTTAACGGAACCACCCGAATATCCACCGAATGGGAGTGCAAGGCGATTTTCGCTATCGAGGGGTCATTTTTACACTGGAGTCGAGGATGAGAATCAGGTGAATTTTATTTTTATGGAAGTATAGATTCTTTAGATGGGAATGAGTTCAGACTTGATCCTCCTTGAGTTATTTCTGAGCATTATTATTGCAAATTAAGAAGTAATCAAAGGTGGAAAACAACTATGTACATAAAGTTTCCAAACAGTAAAAATTAGTTTTCAGTGATGAATATGTTATTATTCGTACATTTTTAATTTCTAAACAGAAAGCTATATCTCAGTAAACGGTAACTAACCAATGTTCGTGAGATACGAGGACGTATTATTTCATTTAACAAACTAGAGGAGAGGAACGAAAGAAACGAGGCACGTGACGTAAAAGAGTGGCTCGTGGGAATTCCGCCATGTGCTCTATCTCAGCAAGTGGAAAACGCAGGGTTTGCTTAACCCTAAAGTCCACCAGTTCGAGAGAAAATATCCAGTGCGGTGAACTTCCATCAAAATGTGACTAATGGCATAGAAAACAACTCGAGATCCGGTAATCGTGCTAAAAAAATAATGTCACACGCGAAAAAAAACAAAGACAAACAAAATATAAGAAATAAGATGAAAAGTCACATTTTTCTGTTTTTAACAGCAAACCATCAGCAATTTTACTGAAAATCGGATTATCGTTAGGCGAAAAATATTCCAAAGCTTCGTCGGGAAATCAATACCAATATAAAAAAAAAAAATGAAAAACTCATTGCAAATGGCGTTACAAGCAATTCGATTGAATACTCGAGTACGAGGCACGAATACTTTTGGGCGAAACAAATCGGCGAAATTCCGATCGAGAATAAAATTGCATTTACTATATGTTCGAAGGTTAAAATGGAAATGGATCGTCCCGATGGATGAAGCGTTTTTTTTTTTTTTTTGTTCCGCGTTGGCAAGCGCGGTAAAATTTTATTTAATGGTTCTCATGTGTTGAACGGGTCCTTTTTAAAACAATGGTCTTGATGTAATTGTGGGACATCCTCTCGCTGCGGAAGGTTTCAGGTATTATTAAAATCATTATTTCCGTCTCTGGGCATTCGTGCGGAAATAAATAGGGTGCGTGTCGAGGGTAGGGGCCATATTACTTTCGAGAGACGCGGAAAATGGACTCGCGTATACACCAAGCACCATTGCGAATGTATGGAAACGAATAGGCGGAAATATTACGCTCAAAGAGAGAGAAGCCCCGAATGGAGGGAGGGAGGAGCAACTTAAACGCGCGAGAGAAAGACAAAAGTTATGACGTTGCAAGATTTCCGTGCAAGTTGAGCACGTTTACTCGATAAGTCTCTAAGTCACCCTTTCCTTGGTGCATCGGTCCATTAATCATCGAATTCTGCCTTCGAATCGCGTTATGATGCACTTTCTACTATGCTGTGTTGACCAGAGGATTTAACACGTTAACGACCGCTAAGAAATCTGTAAGACACGCGCCTAGGACCGCGCGTTTTTGGGCAAACTTGTACGTTACCAAAATCATCGTAATTTAGTTATTTATGAAGCAATTTTTGTGAAACTTTCAGAAATTGTAAAATAGGATGCATTTGAAGTATTATTTAAACAAATTATTTTTTAATAATTATCATAAAATTTTATCTAAAAATCAATTTTACCAAAGTTTGTAGTATTTCTTTAAAGTATGATATTGTGTGTAACACAGCTAGTCTACGAAAGCATGAAGCACCGGAAAATAAGCGAAAAAGACGTTGAGGCAATCGAGTTTAATTCGTTGACTATTGATGAAAGTGCGACAAGAAATACATAGATCGATGTCTCGCGACGAACTGCCTTCGACTTACTCCAGGTCGTCGGGGAAAAGTTTTTAGACGCCAATGCCGAGACCTGTTTACGCTGATTGGAAGACATCTTGGATCATCCCCTTTTAAGAGCGTCGGCCAGCACCGTCACTGACAAGAGCATGAAAGGAGGCAGCAGGCTCGTAAAATCGCTGACACCTGCACACTTCCAGAACCACCGGGTCCATAAACCTAGATGGACAAGCATTTGAATGAATGATCCAGCGCATCTGTAGGGGAAAGTGTTCCGAAACCATTCGACGGATGCCTTGGGACGTAAACGTTTGCAGTTTCTGAATTATTCCATCTGAGGCTCAGTTGGTATTACCGCTGAAGATGAATAAGCAATCCTCGATTATTTTTAGGATTGAGGATCGCTCTTCGGAACTAAGTGGTAAATGAGACGGTTACGTATCTTATTAACAATAATGCAAAACATCAGGACAATAAACGACTAAATATTTAAATTAGATACCCCATGACGTATAAAAGAATACAAATTTCACGTTTTATTAGAAAAATATTCCAGGAGAAAGTTATAAACTATGAAAATATAACGAATACGTCTCAAACACATCTAGAGTAGTGTCAACCATTGACGAAGTTATCAATAAAATACGGTCTAATCGCGTTTCAATGATTTATCTACTCGCCAAATTAATCGAAAACGACGACTGTCGATAGTATGACGTCGTTGACACCGTCGTTGCCTCTCCACTCAGCGATCTTTCTACAAATCCGACTCGTTTGAACTTCATACGTCCGTCATAGCAACGCGGTCGCCAAATCCATCAAACTAAGTCGAGTCGATCAATTGCCGCTGACTCGCGGCTATTAAACATATTCAATGAAGTAGCGATTGACAAGGGACGTATTCTGTCATCGACAGGAATTGTGCGACGCGCCGCGTTTCAGCGGCCGGGGTGATCCAGCAAAATTAATCACGCCGCAGCGTTCCCACGATTGATGGCCGACGCTGGACTCAAAAACCAACGGTGCGAATATTCGAGGGCCGCGCGGTCCGATTTCTATTTTGTTGTATCGTCGAGCAGGGCCCGCCACGGAGATAAATAATGC